ACCCACATCAGCAATACATTGAAACCATCATACACCATAATCAAGTGAGATTTATCCTAAGAAGTCAAGGTTGGTTTAGCATCTGAAAGTTAGTTAATATAATATACCATATTTATAGAATGAAAGACAGCCATGACATAATAATCTTGATAAAAATAGAAAAAGAATTTAACAAAATCCAATGTCCAAAAAAGAGAAGAAAGAAAGAAAGAGAAAGAAAGAAAGAAAGAAAGAAAGAAAGAAAGAAAGAAAGAAAGAAAGAAAAGAGAGAGCGAGAGAGAAAGAAAGAGACCCTCGATAACCTAGAAATAAATAGGAATTTCCTCCAACTGATCTGTGTATCTGTGCAAAGTGTATCTGTGCAAACCTATACCTAACATCATCCTTAATAGTGAAAGACAGAATGCGTACCCTTTGAGATTGAAATGCCCACTCATATTTCTATTTAATATTGTACTAGAAATTCTAGCCAATGTAATAAGGTAAGAAAAAGAAATTAAAGTCATACACATTAGAAAGACTGAAAGCTACCTTTACTTACAAATGGCATTATCCTATAAGTAGAAAATCCTAAGGGATCTACAAAACTAATAAAGAAGTTTAGCATTATTGCTGGGTACAAGATCATCATACAAAAATCAATTGCATTTCTGTGTAGTAGCAATAAAAAACATGAAAATGATATTAAGAAATTAAGAAAATAATTATATCAAAAAGAAAAAAATACTTAAGAATAAGTTTAAGAAAATCAGCACAAGACCCACATATTGAAAATTACAAAACATTGCTGAGAGAAATTAAGGAACATATGAATAAATGGTGAGATAATTCATGTTCACACATTAAAAGACTTAATATTAAGATGTCATTTCTTCACAAATTGCTGCTTAAATTTAATACAATCCTTATCAAGACTCCAGCAGGATTATTTTGTAGAATTTGACAAGCTGATCATAAAACTTAAATGGAAATACAGAGGACCTAGAATAGCCCCCCTGCCCCAAAATTAAAAGAACAATGTTAGAAGACTTACAACATCTAATTTCAAACTTACCATAAAATTTCAGTTATCACAATAGTGTGGTACTGGCATAAGGATAAATATATAGAGCAATGGAATACAATAGAAAGTTTAGAAAAACCCTTACATATGTGGCCAACTGATTTTTGACAAAGATATCAAGGCAATTTAATAGGGAAAGGATAGTCTTTTCAACAAATATTGCAGAGACAATTGGTCTCAGCTAGGACAAAAAATGTTCTGGGATAATTCCACAAACAAAACAAAATAAGATAAAACACAAATTTAGATCTTACAACATGCTACACAAAAGTCAAGTCAGAATATTATAGAGGGAAATATTTCCAATTTGGGGTGAGGAAAATATTTCTTAGATATGACTCCTAAAGCACTAGTTAAAATTTTAAAAAGTGATACATGGGACTTTATAAAAAATTTTTAAAAATATTCTCTTTTAAAACAGAGAGATGTAAACCATACTAGACTCTTAACTATAGGAAACAAACTGAGGGTTGCTGGAGAGGAGGTGGGTTGAGGGTATGGGGTAATTGGGTGATGGGCATTAAGGAGGGCACTTGATCTAGTGCACACTGGGTGTTGTATGCAACTGATGAATCACTAAATTCTACCTCTGAAACTAATAATATAGTATATGTTAATTAAATTGAATTTAAATTAAAAAATTTTTTGAAAGGACTTTTTAAATGACAAAAATGAAAAGCAAGCTGTATACTGGGAAAAAAACACACACACACACACATTCACATTTATGTATCTAATGAAGGACTTGTGTCCAGAGTATAAAGAACTCTTACAATCTCTTATAATTCAACAACAAAAAAATCAATCCAACCAAAAAAATGGGCAAAAATTTTAACAGACACTTCACTGAAAGAAGATATAGGATTAGCTAATTAGCACATGAAAAGATGCTCATTTAGTCATTAGGAAAACAGAAATTAAAACTACAATATGATACCACAAGAACCCAATAGAATGGTCATAATCAAAATATTGAAAAAAATGGTGAGGATGTGAAGGACTGGAATATAAAAAGGTACAGCCACTTTGGCAAACAGTTTGGGAGTTTCTTAAAAAGCTAAACATGTACTAACATAAACCCAGTCATTCTAATCCTAGCTATAGATCCAAGAAAAATGAAAACCGATCTTTCCAAAGGATTTTAGTGTATGTTCATAAGCAACATCATTCTTTAATAGCAAGAAGATAGCAATACACATGTATATCGACTATTGAATGAATAAATAAAATGTGGTATATGCATGGAATGTTATTCAGCAATTAAAAAGGAGCTAACTACCAATACATACAACAGTGTGACTGAATCCTAAAACATGCTAAGTGAAAAAGTCACACACAAAATGCTATATATTTTATGATCCCACTTACATGAAATTTCTGGAAAAGGAGACTATACAGAAAGAAAGCATATCAGGGGTTGCTTAGGGTTGGTCGTGGGAGGAGTGAGAATTGACTCCCAACAGCCACAAGGAATCTAGATTCTCATGATGGTTGCACACCAATAAATTTAATAAATATCATTGAACCATAGAATTAGAATAGTTGAATTTTATGGTGTGTAAAGTCAAGCTCTTAAGAAAAATTTGCAGCATCTCACAATCCATGTAAATTCATAAGAATTAGTCAAATGAACTTAAAGTTGACATATGGAAAGAAATTGACTTAAGTTTAAAAAAATTGGATTTAAGGTATTTAGCAAGGATGCAGGAAAGAGAGGTAGACATTGTTGCAGTGCATGCATTATAGAAGGTTTTCTCCTAAATCTGTCAGCCTAAATTATGGAATAAAATAAAATAGAAAATAAAATGTAAAAATAGGTAATGCTAAGTGGGTTCTAATGAAGTAACCTCCTTTGCTATTACAAGTGAACATCTTTTATGAGTACATTAAATTTATTTTTCATGATTGTCTTTTTTGAGTCCAAAGGGGAAGGCTTTGCCGCAGTGTGAGAGTTTGTCTCTCCTTTGAAGAGACCGACATTTGCAGTGTCAATTCTTGCAGTATAGATGAAACCAGTGACAAAATTACAAGTCAGGAGGTGGGTTTTAAGAGGAAGAAAAAATTCTAGGTTCTTTATGGGTCTTGACTTTGGAGTCTGAGTAGTGATGGAGACATGAGGGAGTAGAGACTACACACTGACACAATGCAGTTATATTAAAAATAAAATGACTTCAGTCTGAGACCATGAAGCCTGAAAATAAATTTTAAAACAATAACCATGGCATTCTTTATTTGACCGCTTCTGAGGATATAATGCAAGTTTAAAATGAGGAAAAAAAAAGATTTTAGAAACATTTGATTAATTTGTAGGTGGCAGAAGAAATTGCTGAATTGAAATCACCTGGGTTGGGAGAGGACAGTGTGTCCAGAATTTCTCTCACCACTTACCATTTGCTCCCCAATCTCCACCCAGCACATTGCCTGGTACATATCAGATAATCAATCTACAGTTGATGAATGAATAAATACCTCATGATTTTCAAAGATTTTTTTTTCTGGGAAATTAAGATTTTAATGATTAACATTGAATATTTAACATCTATTGGCAAATACTAATCTATAAAATGCACCTTGGTGTCATTTGTGGATGGACCTAATAAACAGACCATTTAAGTAGCCGGATTTGGCATTTCTCACATTTTAATTACCGGCCCCACGAAACATATCCTTCCAGAATATTCCATTTCCTACCCCATATCTCTCCCATCTCACTAGATATTTAGCATGTATGTGTTTATTTCTATATAGGTATAGCTAGTCATAGTTATATTTTTATGTCCCTGTCACTGTGCCTGTAGTTATTTACTGTTTTTATGTGCTTGGTTATGATTTCTTCATGTTTTTCTTGTAATCCCATTATATTACAAGTATTTTAAAGTATCTGAGAATTTGTTTACAATGCACAGCACTGACCAAATATTAGGTATTAAAGTTACAAAATTAACATCAATGTTTTGAGGACAATGGATCAACTTAAATTAGATTCTTTTTAAAATTCTATGTCTACTTAATAAAGTATAAGAAAAATTAGTATAAATGAAATGGGAAATGATCATGTAAAGGTAACCTCTGGTTACAGATATACTTTGTGCTATAATTGGGATACTAAGTTTACTCAGTAAGTTAGTGTATTTTGCTTGGCTTTATGTTTCGTTATTTGAGAAACACAGCATAAAGTAAACTGTAGCATTAAGAGCCAGCTTCATTGCAATTTATTTTTATAGCATATCACAAAACAACCCAAGCTGAAAGTACATTCAGGCACTGAGACTTAAATCCCTAAAGGTAAGAAAGTGGTTCCATAAACAGATGTGATCATGGATTCTGAGTTTATTTGCTTGTGGCAAAAATAAAAGTACCAACTCAATAAGTTTTAATTTATATGCATCTATACCAGAAGGCCTTTAGGCACTTTGAACAAAACTGACTAAAAATAAAATTTAGTAAAATAAACTTAATCTGCCCCATTCTCCATTCACACCAGGAAATATAAATTCCCAACTAGGTAGAGGAGAGATTTCTCTATGTCTTTTCTAGGTGCTTTCCTCGACTTATAGCTATGCTGTGCTCTAGAAGAGAATTTTATGATTGGCTACATTCCAGGACACTTAAGAACATGAGAGAGGAGCAATGGATGATCATTCCACCTCCTGAGGTTTTCTAACAACCATGGCCCCACCTAACCCATGGTCATGCAGAAGTGTAGAGCTTTTCTGTTCTCACCCAAAGGAAATATTATTTGCCCTTTTTCTTTAGCAGGAAGTTCAGATATATATACATATAAACTGGGCTGGTACCTAATATGCATCTGAACATTAGGAAATTCTATGATTCTATCATTGGACATATAATAGACTGAAAATCCTTATTTGTGCAGAATATAAATAATAGAACAAATAGACAAGTGTGGGAGGCCTGACCTTGTAGGCCTGCTTACCTCACATTTTGTTCTTCCAGGGTCTCACTTGTGAATTCCAGTATGTCAGCAGCTGTCCCCACAAACATAAGGAGAAGTTGAGAGAGTTGGTCCCGAGTGATCCCTCCTCCAATGGGTAGGAGCCATCTTCCAATTATGAGCATCAACAGGAATGTCTGATGGAGTCCCAAAGTCCAAACTTTCTCACATACTGTAGTTAAGTTACTTACAAAACCCTTGGCCTATGTAACAAAAATGTGATACAGAGAGAAGATTGTGAGCTATCACCTTGGAGAGAGATGCCTCCTTCACCAAGGTTTTCAATCAAGAATTAGCTTTTATGGAAGGTCATTTTCAGAAAATGATTCTTCACTTACTAAAGAAAGTAAAACTCCTTTCAACTGGACACTGTGGGGGAAAAAAGCTAATGTGGTCCTTAAAAAGGGGCAGCCTTATAACAAGAAGTAATTTAAACCTCATACTTGCTAGTAGGATTGTAGCATTTGCTATTTAAAGAGCCAATTTCATGACGTTTTAAAGATCATTTCTCATTTTACTCTTCTCTGTAACAAAGTAACAGCAAAACTTTTTAAATACCATATTAAAATCACAAAAAAATCTGTATTTTTCTTTCAGGGATTTCAAGTCTGAATTTATTAATCTGGGAATATTTTAACATAGTACAGATCTCTTGTTTTTTATTGCTTTAAAACACTACTACATCAAATGAGAAAATGTATAATCATGTTTATTCATTACCTAAATACAAAGAAAGAGAATAACTATAGTTATTATTTTTATTCTGAATATTTAACATACTATTGAAAAATCCATAAACTAGCAACCAAATTTTATTCTGCCCCTAATCTTGAACTTGGAGAAAAATTTACACCCCTTTCATGTATTCTGAATAATATCTCTTGCCCATTTAACTTCTAAGTAAGTTTTAAAATATATCATTGGCCCTTAGAGGCTATAATCTTTTAAAGACTACAGGAGTGTAGGTCTCCAGTGACTTTGATAGTTGCTTCCAACTGATTTATACAAGTAACTTAACTACATTTGTTCAAAACCTATTTACCCCTCTTGATTACTTACTGATGTCAAGTGTAGAGGTAAAGGGAGGATAAAAGACAAGGCAGGATGCTAGCCTGATTGAAGCCAAGCATGAGGATCAATGATCTTTCATTTACACAGTGTTTCATATTTTTTCTATGAGACTTCACATACATCCTACTTGATTCTTACAAGAAGCATACTAGCAGGGTGAATATTAATATTTTCAATTATCAGATGAAAAACTGAGATACAGAGTGATTAAATGACTTGTTCAAAGTGATATCAGTCAGCTGTGATTGGAGCTCAAATTAGAATCCAAGGCTAATTCAATTAAACCTCTTAGAATCAATAATCTGTCTCATTGTTGAAAATGTGGCTCATTGGTAGGGGTCTGGGCCTTGAGTCTCTCCCATATACCATTTTATAATAGGCTATGGTTAGTTTCACAAATATCAGGCAAGTGAAGAACAAAGAAGTGATTCTCTTTTGGCTGGAAAACGTCCCTATTAATATAACACCTAAAAATATATAGGCCAGATCCCAATCTTTTATCATTCTTTCACAAATAATATGTATCTCGCCTTGTGCATATATTATCTGACCTAAGTGTTAAAGGCTACTTAATGCTGCAAGTTAAATATATCTATTAATATATATGATATATATGACTATTACGCATATTAAATGTGTTTAATTAATAAAAATACAATTATTTTGCAAATTCCTTAGCCAAACGATTAAACAACTGGCAAATTTCCTTAGGAAAGAATGAGCTGAAAGGTGTAGAGCATGTTATCCTCACCAAATGAAAAGGTGATTTGCTAGATCCTTTAAAATACAGTGAAAAAATCTCTCACCGTCTTAATGAGATCATCTGCTCCATTGGCTTGTTCACTTGATATCAGAGTTTGATTGAAGTTTTCTTTGCTGCTGGTATTTTGTGACATTCCTTCAGAATGGCTACTGCAGTACTAAGAATTTTGTAAAAAAGTAATATGTTAAAAAAAACCCCACAATATGTAGAATTTAAAATGGCTTCAATTATCTAAGAGATTATGAGTAGATATGTGGATTTACACAATATGCATAAATATTTCCAAAATTCAGAGTATAGTCTTAAGATAGAAAACCACTTTTCAATTAATATGAGAAGTCAACTATACATGTTTTATTTTCCCACAAGTCTATGAGGATGCAGATGCTCCAAGTTCATTGTGCAGAACTGTAGAATTTGTTAAGTTTTTATTTTAATTTCAGTTAGTACACATACAGTATTATATTAGCTTCAGGTTTACAATATAGTGATTCAACAATTCCATACATCACCTGGTGGTCATCATAACAAGTCACTCCTTAATCCCCATCACCGTTTTCCCCCACTCCCCCACCCACCTCCACTCTGGTGACCATCAGTTTGTTCTCTATAATTTATTTCTTGGTTTATCTCTTTTTTTTCCTTTGATCATTTGTTTTCTTTCTTAAATTCCATGAGTGAAATCATAAGGTATTTGTCTTTCTCTGAATGACTTATTTCACTTAGCATTGTACTCTCTAGCTCCATCCATGTCCTTGAAAATGAATAGACTTCATTCTTTTTTATGACTGATTAATATTCCAATATATACACCACATCTTCTTTATCCATTCGTCTGTCAATGGACACTTGGGCTGCTTCCATATCTTGGCTATTGTAAATAATGCTGCTATAAACATAGGAGTGTATGTATCCCTTTGAATTAGTGTTTTTTTATTCTTTGGGTAAATACCCAGTAGTACCATTGCTGGGTCATAGGGTAGTTCAATTTTTAACGTTCTGAGGAAACTCCATACTGTTTTCCAGAGTGGCTGTACCAGTCTGCATTCCCATCAACATTGCACAGGGGTTCCTTTCTCTTCACATCCTTGCCAACACCTGTTGTTTTTTGTGTTGTTGCTTTTAGCCATTCTGATAGGTGTGAGGTGATATCTCACTGTAGTTTGGATTTGTATTCCCCTGATGGTGAGTGATGATGAGCATCTTTTCATGGATCTGTTGGCTATCTGGATGTCTTCTTTGGAGAAATGTCTATTCATGTCTTCTGCCCATTTCTTCTTCCACATTGTAGTACATCATTATAATTGTTCTCTTTTACTGTTAGTTATTGTTAATCTCTTGCTGTGCTTGATTTATAAATTAAACTTTACCATAAGTATGTATGTAGAGGAAAAAACAGTATATATTGACTTTGGTACTATCCACATTTTTAGGCATCCACTGGGGAATCTTAGAACTTATCCCTCCTGGAAAAGAGGGGACTACTCTATTCCTTTAGCTGAGAATTAAGAAATATGGGTATGTCATTCACTTTCTTTATGCTATCTAATGCATTTTGTTTGTTTGTTTATTTATTTATTTATTTATTTATTTATTTATTTATTTATTTATTTTAGATAGCACATGTGAGCGGGGTGGGGTGGGGAGGTGCAGAGGGAGAGGGAGAGAGAGAATCCTAAGCAGACTTCAGCAGGCTCAGCATGGAGCCTGACATGGGGCTTGATCTCAAGACCCTGAGATCATGACCTGAGCCAAAATCAACCGTCGATCACTTAACCGACTGAGCCACCCAGGCACCCCTATCAAATGTATTTTAAAGCAGTTACCTAAATGTGCAGTCACTGAATTCCTCTCAACCTTCATAGTTAGCACTTAATGACTGCATCTGGACTATACCCTGAGGCTTTACCTCCAATGATTGACCACAGACTATAATGAATAAGACATTTAGGTCTGGTGATAAAATATACGCCATTTAGGATTCCTTCTTAAAATGCTAATGAAATTTTCCTTTCATTTTTCTGCCCATTTTTTAAATTGGAATATTTGTTTTTTGGGTATTGAATTTTCTAAGTTCTTTATATATTTTGGATACTAATCCTTTATCAGATATGTCATTTGCAAATATCTTCTCTTATTCCATAGATTGCCTTTTAGTTTGTTGATTGTTTCCTTCACTGTGCAGAGCTTTTTATTTTGATGTAGTCCCAAGAGTTTATTAATTTATTTATTTTTAAAAGATTTTATTTATTTATTTGACAGAGAGAGCACAAGCAGGGGGAACAGCCAAGGGAGAGGGAGAAGCAGGACCCTGGTATCATGACCTGACTGCTTAACTGACTGAGCCACCCAGGTGCCCCTATTTTTGTTTTTGTTTCCCTTGCCTCAGGAGACATATCTAGAAAGAGTTGCTATGGCTGATGTCAAAGAATTTAGTGTCTGTGTTCTGTTGTAGGATTTAATGGTTTCAGGTCTCATATTTAGGTCTTTAATCCATTTTGAATTTGTTTTTGTGTATGATGTAAGAAAGTAGTCCAGTTTCCTTCTTCTGTAGTTTGCTGTCCAGTTTTCCCAACACCATTTATTGAAGACACTGTTTTTTCCCATTGGATATTCTTTCCTGCTTTGTTGAAGATTAACCGATGATATAATTATGGGTTTATTCCGGGGTTTTCTATTCTGTTCTATTGATCTATGTATCCCGTTTTGTTCCAGTACCATACTGCTTCTAATTACTACAGCTCTGTAATATAACATGAAGTCTGGAATTGTAATGCCTCCAGCTTTGCTTTTGCTTTTCAAGGTTGCTTAGAGCTATTCAGAGTCTTTGGTTCCATGCAAATTTTAGGATTGTTTGTTCTGGTTCTGTGAAAATTGCTAATGGTATTTGAAAGCTGTACCATTCATGGAGTGATAGTTGGGGTTTCTCTCTTGAACCCTGGACCAGTTATAGAACAAATAGATAATGGCAGCATTAAAACATGTATGATCCTGGTCAAAACATCTATTCTAAGAGTTTATTTCTTGTCCAGAAGGCTCTTTATCTAAAATACCATTTGCTTAAGTAGGTAATACAATCATCTTCAATCTTGCCTGTTAAGCACTGAAACAACCAAAAAAATTAACATGTACCTCTATCAAAATACACATTTTAGTGTCAGTTTAGAGGTCCAACTTAGGTTTCTGGAAAATTTGACAAAGACCCAAACTAAATGTTTTTCCCTTTTTATTCCTTCGTTTTGCATGTAAATTTCTACAAGTGAACTGTGCATGATTTTTATCCAGATGCTGGGAACCTGAGGTAGAGAAAAAGTATGTAAAAGAGAAAAAGAGCAGCACTTGAAAATATAAGTGTAGCTAATGATTATTTCACAAGCTGTTTTAAAAAAAAAAAAGTTGAAGTTTTTTTAAACACCTGCAGGGCTAACATACTTTTGAAACATAGACATACATATACACACATCACTATCATCACTACCACCACCACCGCATATCCATGTAACATATTTGGATTTAAAGAGAAACTAATTTTTAAAAAAATACTAACGTTGTGAGAAGTGTATTTTTCTTAATTACTCTGGATACTGCATCGATCATTCTATAAACTACTTGAAAAAGTAAAAAGAAAGTCTGTCTAAGAAGCTATTTTTTTTCCTACTCCCCATCAAAACAACTAGTGTTATAGGTGAAATGACAAGAATACTTAGGAAAAATGGCCATGTACCATATCTCTAAGAGCAAAAATCCAGCCGTTTGCACACTTTTTTTTTCTGTACAGCTAAGAGTCCAAGAAAAGATAATGAAGATAAAAAATTAAATCGTTGAACCAAGCAACAAATCCTCATTGCAGAGTGGCTTTTTGAGAATCAAATAGGCAAGAGGAAATAATTTTGACCACTTTATTCTGTAGGCATGAAAGAGACTATTTATTAAAAGTGGTGACCTTGATATGTTTTTTTTAAACATCCTTAACACCAAAAATCCATAGACATCTGATTATTAAAAAAAAAAAAAAAAGTCATCTGCCCTGCAGTGGCAAATAGCTTTGTAGTCCATATTATGATATTGCAACCTGAGTCCCAGTCCATTCCTGTAATTCTACTTGTTACAAATTGATGAGATTTTCCTTCAAGGGGTAGCTGCATTAGGACTCCAAAGAACAACTGGTTTGATTCCTACAACCTAACCTGACTTGTATTGTTTTTATGGTGATATTGTTTCCATTTAGCATTGTATAGGTGAGTTCATGTAGATGATCTGGGTACCAACAAGCCACTTTTTCATGGGCTGTGTCTTAAAAACTCTTATTAGCTTCAAGAATATTCCTTTGGGTCAACCCAGACCCTAATACCATCAATACCAGAAAGTTTCCATTGCTTTAATTGTGCCACCTGAGAGTTACAGTCATAACTGTTGTCATAATCATCTTGTTTCCAGTCATGTAGACCTAGCCAGATGCAGAAATGAAGGTACAGAACTGATCCTACCTAGGAGGAATGTCTTTATGAGGTAGGTCAGGATGTTTTCCCAATGCCAAGACATAGGTTAGAACCTTCAGGATGTAGAATAAATTGAACATGTTAAAGGAAATTAAATTACTCTCCTGTCATGAAAAAAAATCAGATGATTTAGATGAGAACTCCTCTAAAACACAGAACACATAACTGAGAAAGGCAGTATGGTTTAAGACCTAGGTGCTAAGCCCCAGAATTGTAATTAGCTGTGTGGCCTTGAGAAAATTACTTAACCTTTCTGAGTCTCGGGTCCTCTTCTATAAAACAAAAATATATATACCACGCCTAACTTATATGCTGAGTTCATAAAGGAGAAAATGTATTTGGAAATACTTTGAAAGGAAAAGTGGCTATTATCACAACCAAATTTTTTTTAAATGAATGGACTAAGAGAATTGCTGTACCTCCCTTTATTTTGCCATTTCTCATTTCTTTAAATGCAATTCCAATACTGTTCTGTCTCCCTTTCTCTTACTTTTTTCTACTTCCATCCTCTGCCCACCCTGCCCAATTCAATCTTTGGGCATTCATTTTAATTCTTAGTGTCAAAATGAGTCAAATCCTTTACTACAAAGGTCCAATTTCTTTTGTAGTATGAAAATTAGAGAGGTACTGCCTGGGGCTCAAAAATCTTTTTTTATTAAAAAGAGAGCTTTTGGTTGCATGCTATGTGTTGTAATGGAATTTGACCTGTATATCAATTAATTGTGCAACGCATTTATATTATAAAAGCATTTGGGGAAATGAATTGTTATTGTGGATGATAGTCATGTTATAGAATTGGATGTGAAGGAAAGAAATGATTCAAATCACCAGAGCTTATTTCCATACCCCTGAAAGTAGTAAGTAGTAAGGAAATTGAAACAGTCCCCTAACTCCTTATGGTACAGTTTTATGGTACATGGTTTTAAAAACCATGATAACTTGAACCAGCCAATCTAGTGTTACAAAAATATTTTGCTACAGTCATAGAGATAGCCTATGACTTTAATATTTTTTAAATAGGGGACTTAAAGCAGATAAATGTTTTCTTCATGCCTATTTTACTGGTATGTGCTTGTGGAATTCTTCAAAAATAGTCCACACACCTAAATTCCCCCGTGTGTACCTAAAATTTGGAGCAAGCATTTTCCAGATAAGGTTTGAGTATCTGAAACATACATCAGAGGCTTAACTTTACTATAAAATGATCAACAGCAGCAAAGAAATCTGCATAGGGGCAAATTCTTATCTTGAGTAATGCATCGTATCAATGAAAGTACTATAATAATATTATATCATAACTATCGCTTATCTGTAACATAGTCCCATAACCTGACCCCAGAAGATGTGAAGTTCAGGCTGTAATCTGCTGGAGTCTGCCCTCTCCAGGGTTGTACAGGAACAGTAATAGCAATAGATTGTGAATCTAGTCCAGATCCTGATACCTAAAGTTGCCCATGTAAGAAGCAACTCACTTAAAATTTAGTAGCTCTTTCTCTGTATATAGGTGAGGGACTCTCATTGGAAACCATTGTTTATTTTTTAAGTCAGTGTGATCCTAATACATATAGCCCACCTTTCCCAATGGTGGGTCTCATACTCCTCTCCTTTACCCTTCATGTCTGGCTCCAGAGTAGAATTCCTATTTCACTAAAACAGCTCATGGGGGTCTCAAAAAGGAATCTTTTCTAATCTGTAAGGCCTGTATTTTAAGACAGACTGTTTCAAATATCCGCTCCAAGTTTGATTGCATTTTACATAGCAGAGTCTAGACAATGGGCTTTCTTTTTAGTTTTTGCCACTTTTAAAAATGTCATTTTATAGGATGCTAGATTATTGAGCCCTGCCCATTCTTAGGACAATATAGAAACTCATTGAATTTGCAAAGTTAACCAAATTTTTACACACAACCATCCTCTACCCCATGTAAATGCTAGCATATTGGGGGCCAGGGGGGCTTAGGAACATCTTTAATGTAAGTTGTTAATTATGTAATCTTAAATCTTAAACAAATGTAACATCTTTATTGGTTTTGATAGATGATGAATTCACTTTCTTTTGCTAATGGCCTCTTACTTATTCAGTTCTTGATAACTGCAATTCCTTTGAGTAGTGCATTTCTGAAATAAATTGGATTACGGTATGAAAGCAGTTTACTGATGAATATTCCACTTTCCTACTTTCCAAAGGGACATACCTGGGTCTCATCGTGCATTTCAAGAAGCCATAATGATGGAACAATGCTAATCAGATATAAAAATATGGCTGGTGAAAACCTGTAAAAGAGAGGAAAAAAGATAGTTCAGTTTTTACAAAAAGATTTTTTTTTTAAAGAAAGAAAAACAAATACACATACCCTGATCACATCAAGTCAAACCTTTTTATCTCAAATGTTTATTTCAATGGGGAAAAAAGCATTATGTGATTTCTGCCATATGGATTATAGAGAAATGAAGTAACTGCAAAAGGCACTAGCAGCTGTCATTCTCACTGAATTTCTAATCCAATTAATAGAAGTTAATTTTAATATGGTTTAATGGGACACTGCCAACTAGTTTCAGGCACAAAACTGGATATTTTGTATTTAATATGTTTTACAACAAGCAAATACAGCAATAGTAAATCTTCTTGGATTTTTCAACATTGCAATTTCAGGAAGATTGGCTACACTTTTTAATATTAGGATTCTGAAAGCTCAAATAGTAACATCCTGCTAGAACACAAAAATCAGATGATGATGAATGGGAATGAGCAAAATCAACTGACTTTGCGTATATCTGCTAAACCTAGTAAAAATAAAAATGCAAACAAACAACAACAGATGAAGTGCTTGGTATTGTTTGAAAAAGCTATCTATATTCATTATTTTCTGGCTCAAAATTCAGAGGGCAGTCCAAAGAGTGGGCTTGTATAGTCAAACATATTCAGGTTCAAATACCAGTTTTGCCAGTGACTCCGTCTGCTTCCCAGTCCACAAAATGGAGGCAGTCACTGTATTAGTCAGCTTGGACTGCCGTACCAACGTACCAGAGACTGGGTAGCTTAAACAACAGAAATTTATTTTCTCACAGCTCTGGAGGTGGGAAGTTTGGTGAGGTCTCCCCTCCTGGCTTACAGACAGCCACCTTCTTGCTGTGTCCTCACATGGCCTTTCCTCGGGGCATGCACGTCACAAGCAGAGAGAGACAGACAGAGATCTCTCTCTTCTCCTCTTAAAAGTTTACCAATCTTATTGGATTAAGATCTCACCCTTTTGACCTCATTTACTCTTAATAACTTCCTGAAAGCTCTGTCTCAAAAGATTCATACTAGGGGATAGAGTTTCAACATAAGAATTTTTGGGAAACACAATTCCGTCCATAGTGGTCACATTTATCTCACAGAAGTCTTTACTATATTTTCTGTAAAGCAGTGCCTGGCAGAGGTGAGTATTCCATAATAGATAACTACTAACTACTATCAGTATTTTTATAGGACATTATACAATGAAAATATGCCCTTAGAAATTTGAAATAAGATAAAAATAATATACTTTCCAAATTCATTTCTTAAAATTGCACTTCATTTTAGATTGGACTATTGCTTTATAGGCCACCTCAAAGAAAAAATTGTAAGTTAATATAATTTTATTAAAATACTTTTAGTATATGCATGTGATGGTTTAAAATGACCTGAAAAATAGAAATGTTAATTGCTCAACAAATAGAATTATTTGAGATGAAATGGTATTAAAACCATATTATTATAATCCAGGAGAGAAAAGTGAGCAAACCTAAATGGAAGAGAACATCTAGAATGGACTTTTCTAAGGCTGTTAACCCTTTCACTAATACTGCCTTTCAGCTTCTGGAAAGAAGGAAGAAAGAACAAAAGAAAGTGAGGTCTTTTTAAAAAATCAATATTTAATAGAGATACTCCTCCACCTTTGATTTCCTACAAAAAAACAATTTTGAAACAAAAGGTTATGGGTCATGATATTATTGAAATCTGAGGTGGAAGATGGCTGGGTGACAGAGAGCAACATAGCAAAAGCCCCCATGTTGAACATACTCTTAAAAAGAAAAGGGAAAATTAATTCCTTGACCTTACATATCAAGGGTAACACCAGGAAAGAGTATTTCCTTTGTGAGATTGAGAAAGGAAATGAATTCCAGTTGCAAGGACATTTGGAATATGTAAATGTTTGTTCGGCTATGTCAAATGTTGACTGGATTGCAATTTTGTTGACTCCCTTGGAATTAATTTTGGGATTGACTCCCCTAAAAATACCATTACAAGAATATCTAGAGAAACCATGGACTGAACATACAATAACTCTTGAAAGAGGTTAAACATGAAACAAACAACAACTCTTAACATCTTCTATGCATAAGACTTATTTCTATAATTGGAAAAAAAATACTACCCTATTTCAAGGTATTTCCTCTAAATAGAAATCTGGTTATGCAAAACAAAACAAAACAAAACACTAAAAAAAAAAACAACAACAAACTTCAAGATCCAAGATTTTCTACGTTACCTGCTACAGAACATCTAAATTCCATAATCTGACATTAAAGCCTCCATATTCTAGTCTTTCCACTTCCCGTTTCTCTTCCTGCGCTACAACCTCAAAATAAAACAAAAGGTTTTCTACAAAGTTCCCCTCACTTCAGTCTCTCTTCATAGTCTTTTTTGACATAAATGAGAAGGGGGTAGAAAGAAGCAATCACACTGAGAGCCCAGGAATTTATCACATTCAACTCAGTCTGTAGCCTTTCTCCCCATATGTCCCACCCTCTTAACCAACCCTACACCTGAGAGGATTTGCTGGAATTTTAGGAGGCTTCCAGGTAGAGTTACTGGTGACATGGATAGCACGTCAAAGTGATCAATAGCAAATCACCATCAGAAGCTTCCTCTTCTCCTTCCTCTCTCTCTAACTCCCCTGTAGCTGGCCATGGTAGTTGTACAGCTGAAATTAAACAAAAAACCTTATGGAGAAAATAGAAATCTCTCTTATCTAGGGAAGTATTAAAATGTGTCTAAATATATTTTATTTTGGATATGAGGAATACATTTCAGCCACATACAGCATATGTTTTGTTTGACCGTGGGTCCTTCTTAAGAACAAAGTGCTCCATGCTCTGTCAGCTTGATTAATCTGAGAAGAGAGGTTCTGAAATGACTTTAGAGGAAATGTCCCTCCAAATTATGACTGCCTGCTTTGGAATGCTCTCCTCTTGCCTCTCTACCCATCAACATCTTACCTGTATTTCAGAGGCATAGCAGGAATTAATCTTAGCTTATATTTCTCTTGTGACCCAACACATTCTCCACTATTTCATGGTTATGTGTATATAAGCCTTAGCTTTCCTAATATAGGCTCCTTGAAGGCAGATTCTGTCTTATATATATTTATATCCCTTCCTTCTTTCTTCTCATTCATCTTTCCCTCTTCTCAGTGATATCAGGTGTCTTACTAAGTCTTTAATAAATGCTTATTAAGAAAATGCTTAGGGGTGCCTGGATGGCTCAGTCGTTAAGTGCCTTCGGCTCAGGTCATGAACCCAGGGTCCTGGGATTGAGCCCCACATTGGGCTCCCTGCTCAGTGGGGAGCCTGCTTCTCCCTCTCCTACTCCCCCTGCTTGTGTTCCCTCTCTTGCTGTGTCTCTCTCTGTCAAATAAATAAATAAAATCTTAAAAAAAAAAAAAGAAAATGCTTAAATCCTTGAGTGCCTGAATTTATGAATAAAATGGAGGAAATGGAGCGTACTGGCATCTACAAGGACCTTTTTTATTCCCATGTCAGGAGATCCCGGAGCAAGTATGCTCCTAGAGTTGTGGCCATGAGGAATTACTACATAAACCTAGGAGACCCAGATTTGAATCATCTGTTCCAAGGTACATCCTCCGAGGTAGTGGAAATTTGCTACCTTTCCTGTGACTCAATGTCCTCATCTATAACATGGAGATAAAATATCCAGTGCATAGGATGGTTGCAAAGATGAGAGGAGACGGTGTGTGTCATGGGCCTAATAGTGTACAGCTCAACACATGTGTGTTGCTACCTTACCTAGGCTCAGCTCTGCAAGTAAACACACAGCTACACATTCAGTACCTACACTTAAAGAGGACCCAGAGGATACCAGGTCAGAAGGCTGTTTCTTCAAAGAACTCACAATCAATCCTATTTTCAAACTATAATTCCCCAAACTGAACCTATTTAAGACATCTTGAATCAAAGGAAATTGCACTGCTGAGGACGTCATTATCCCCAACTCCACATTTGATGTTAAGGCAATTCCTGTCATAGAGCCATGGTCTGCCCATGATGGCCTACAAAATGCTGCACGCTCAGGGCCCTGCCTACCTCTTGGGCTTTGTTGCTTGCCATTTTTCCTCACTGTGGTCCCATAACATTGTTTTTCATTCAGTTCTGGAGAAAACCTACATGCCTTCCTAACTCAGGCCTTCATACCTGTATTTCTCTCCCTTGAAATATTTGTTTACCCCCACTCTTCACCTGATTATTTTCTTCTCATAGTTCATGTTGGGTATATGAGACCCCATGGAAGAACTTTCCTTGTCCCTCCAGTCTAAATTAGATGTCCTTGTTATACCTGTCTTATAGCACTCTTCACTTTTATCCTATAGATCTTCAAAATTTATAATTATATATGTGCATATGTGTGTATGTTCACTGTCACTTAACTGTCTCCCAGCAACTGTAAGTAGTATGAGCACAAAAGTTGTGTGTTCATCATTATACCCTCAGCGCCTCCCACGGTACCTGGCACAAGATGGGTTCCCCACAAATATTTGTTGATTTGATAAGGCCCTGGTTGATTTAAAGTTTGTTTTCTTTTTTTTTTTTTTTTTTTTAGATTTTTATTTATTTATTTGATAGAGAGAGAGACAGCGAGAGAGGGAACACAAGCAGGGGGAGTGGGAGAGGGAGACGCAGGCTTCCTGCTGAGCAGGGAGCCCGATGCGGGGCTCGATCCCAGGACCCTGGGACCATGACCTGAGCCGAAGGCAGACGCTTAACAACTGAGCCACCCAGGCGCCCCTAAAGTTTCTGTTTTCTTGACACTGTTGCTGGGTTGACTAGAAACCTCTTCTTGAAATATCACCATAAATTGATTCTTATCAGAGGTTTTACCGAGGGAAACTAATTATTCTGTTCTTATATGAATTTAATATTGTTTTGCTACTATGAAAGATTTAATATTCCAAGGTGACATTCTAGCCATTACTTATTAGCTTGAAGGTTTGCCATATTCTAGATCATGC